ACCTGAACAAAAGCTTGTAGTGTCACTCAGACGGCCTCGCTCCTTGCTCTGCTGGGAACCAGATTTCTGACCGTGCTGCACGCTTTCGTCTTAAAACGGTCGACGACAACAACGTCCAACTGCAGAGACTGAGGCATAAAAACGAGGCGAAATTTTGTCTACTTTTCTTGCCTGTGACACATTAGATCATCTGAAGTGGGGTTCTGTGGAAAAGTTAAGAAAAGCGAACGTCTTACCTGCCGACACTGACGAGCTAACAGCTAACCAAGTCTTTTGAGTTGACATGCGTCTTTTTATAACAATCTTATAGTGTTTCATCCAAAGTTATTTTATAAACCTTTACACGGTCCTCTTGTTTCACATTAGTCGTTATGACTAAATGGTTTTGTCGCGAGCACAAAAAGCAGCTGCAGCCTCAGACACCTTTAGCAGGAATATTACATTTCTGCAGGAATAACCATATCACGTTAACCTGACGGACGTGTTAACGTTTATAAAACAGTGTTCGCAGGAGCATTTTGAGATTGGACGCGTTTTAATCCACTCGTCTTGGGACCACCTGCCTCATCAGAAATCAACTATTTCTCCAAACTCAGCTCAGACAGGTAAGATAGTTGTTCATAACCTGAACGCAGAACCACACTTCCAACAGATCTGAACGATCCCTTCGGCCACGCCCATCCTCCTCAGCTGTCTGCTTTTGTTCATTTAGCAGCCGAACCCCGTTGTCCCTCACAGGCCAAAACTAAAAGGCCCCAGTCGGGACTTTATGACGATCAGCTCCACAGCGCCGTCCAAAACAAGCAAACATTCACTCACACACAGAAGAGGTGCATCTGATCTTGTTCATTTTAGTTAAAATTATTTAAAATTAAAAAAAAAAAAAAAACACCTGAAAGGCAGCTGAAGCTAAATTTCTTGTCCAATTAATGTGTACACCCAGGCACGACTGCAACCTGGGTGGAGATCTCAACACGTTAGAGAGGAGGGGGGGTTTGGGCACCACTGCAGATGAATAAGACAAAAAAACATAAAAAATCCATACAAACTGAGAGCAAACAAAAGAATAAAATACAATCTGCTAAAAAGTTATTGTCTAGTTTCCTCTCTCAGGTAAACACAGCAAACAGGAATCCAGCATTGTGTAACTTTGCCTCGCGTGTCACCCGTCCGTGGGCAGATGGCTGTGGGTCATGGATCGAGTGGCACTTTGATAAATCCGACTCTTCGTGTCATCAGTAAACAAGACACAAGCAGGTTTTCGGACACACCATCATTGGCAAGAGTCTCTTAGAAAGACAATACTTTTTTTTTTTTAATGATTCGGCAGAGGCTGGCAGTGCGTTGGAGGAAAAACTGAATAACCACACCCTGACAGGGACAGATGAGAAGACACCAAAGTGAAAAGGGGGGGGGGGGGGGG